AGGTTTTTGTGAAGTTTTTTGGGAATTTTATGGATGAAGGAAAGGAAGAATTGGGAAGGGAAGGAAGAATTGGGAAGGGAAAATGCTTCATAAAAATTAATTTTTTAACTTAAGAAATATTTCTTAATTAACTAATTAGGCAAATAATTAATTCAGGATTTAATAATTAGGGAAATTAATGACCGAGGAAATTATTAAATAATCAGGAAATTATTAATTAATGAAATATTTATATGCAAATTAGGCGGTCCCACATAAATTTAAGGATTAAATCCTAATGAAGGCTCAAATCTCAATTAATTACCAAATCTAATAAATATTCAGCTCCAAATTAACAAGAGATTAATTTAATCAGGTTAATTAGGGCAGTACCTTTGAAGCAGGTGACGAAGTTCTTGACTTTGGTGTCATCCAGGAAAAGCTGCAGAAAAAGCAGGAAAAGGGTGAGTTTTCCCCAAAAAACCTGGAATTTATCTCTGGGATGCATTTGGGATCTGTCCTGGATCCTTTTGGTGGTTTTTTTTAGGGGGATCCAGCTGGGATTTGCCCCAGAAATTTTAGGATTGTTTTGGGATCTGTCCCGAGTCCATGGAAAGGTTTTTTTGGGATTCCTTTGGAATCTGAGCGGGATTTGTGTGGGATCTGGCCAAGATCCAGCTGGGATTTGTTTGGGATATGTTTGCGTTTGATACAGGTTTAATCTGGGTTTAATCAGGGTTTAATCCATGTAATGGGTTAAAACTTTAAGTTTGTTCATCACAGCTGACAAAGTTATTCCAGTAAGACTGTTGCCTAATAAATTTCCAGACTTAAAAGGATAAGGAAGGTGAAACCAAAGACAATTGGGTTTCACAAACATTTGTTTATCTGCTTAATAAACTGTTGGGTGGTGGGCTTGCTATGATTGATAACACAGTATTAGCTTATCTGCTCAGTAAACTTAAGATTCCAGGAACTCAGTAGATTGAGTTTAAAATTCCAGGAATCAGACAAAGGAAAAATACCAAACTTCATCTTCAGACCTCCGGGAAGTGGACTATGACCACCTAGACACAAAAGAAGAATATGCAGAGTACTACACATCAACCCGGAAGCAGGACTGTACAAGAACTCCACGAAATATCAGAAGAGTGCGGCAGTGGCGGAGCGGAGACTCCCCTGTCGCCCAGCGCTGATTTGCTTATTGCTTTGCCCGCTGTAATCAATAAATTCTCAATTGATTTTACTTGGCAAATTGTCGGCTCAATTTATAACAATCCGGAATTATTTTGGGTTTTGATCAGGATCCTCCTGGGTTTTCTGTGGGATCCTCCCTGCGATTTTTTCGCGGTCTGTCCAGAATCCAGGCAGAATCCGTTGCCCAGAACCCCCTCCCGACCCCCCAACCCTAATCGATCCCTTACCAATCCCCCCTCACCTGTCCTTGGTGATCTACGTAATAAAAATACTCGCGGATTCCAGGCTCCGGCCGCTGTCCCTGCTGGTACCGGAGCTCCGGGCGCGAGCAGAGCCGCAGCACCGCCCCCACCCTCATCGCGACAGCGAGCAGCGACCCCCAACAGGGCCAGGCCTCCTCCCTGTCGCGACAGGCGACAGCGACGGCCGCGCCACCGGCGCCACCCGGAAGTGGCCACCTGGGGGACCGCAATTTGTGAGCACCGCGGGTAGTGCGGCGATGAAAAGGTTCTGGAGGGAAGCGGAAATGAAAGGAGAAGGGCCGGGGGTGTCCCGCGGTTATAGGGGATTTATAAATCCCATAGAATCCCTCTAGAAACCCCTCAGGGCTTCTCTGTAGGTGCTCAAAGCCATAAAAAGCCTCAGCGACCCCATAAAAAACCCTCTATATGCTCCTATAGCGCTGCGCTCCCTCATAGATGCGCCCCCCCCCCATCCCCCCCCGGCGGCTTCCTGCCATTTTGCCCTCAGGGCTTTCAGAGCCCCAGAGGCGACGGGAAAAGCTCCGGGCTGAGGGAAAAAGTTGGAAAATGAGGCGGAAAAATCTCGGGCTGAGGGAAAAAACACCGGGTTGAGGTAGAAAAACAGCGGGGATGGGGTGGAAACAGAGTGGGATGAGGGGAAAAGTGGAAAATGAGGGGGGAAAATGACGGGGGAGAAACCACAAAATGAGGGGGGAAATGCCAAAATGAAGAGGGAAAACACCGGGATGAGGGAAAAAACACTGGGATAAGGGGAAAAATATAAAAATGAGGTGAAAAACTAAAAAAAAAAAAATGAGGGGGGTAAGTAATGAAATGAGGTAAAAACCCAGCAAAATGAGATGAGAAAACACTGGGATGAGGGGAAAGCCACTGGGATAAGGGGGAAAATACCAAAATTAGGTGAAAAACAAAAAAAAAAAATAAGGCGGGAAATAGCAGCAGGATGAGGGGGAAGCCACTGGGATAAGGGGAAAAATATCTAAATTGGGTGAAAAACAAAATAAATGAGGGGGGAAAACACTGAAATGTGGTAAAAGTTGGGAAGATACTGGGCTGAGGCAAAAAAATCTGAAAATGAGGTGGAAAAACAACTGGTATGAGGGGAAAATTACTGGGATAAGGGGAAAATACCAAAATTATGTCAAAATCGGAGGGGATAAGGCTGAAAACACCAAAATGAGGTGAGAAAAAAACGGAATAAGACCCAAAAATACTAAAAAGTTGAAAATCACCAGAATGAGAGGGGAAATATTGGGATAAAGTAAAAACCCACAAATTTAGGTGGAAAAAATCAAAGTAAAGGAGAAAAAAGTCCAGAATTAGGGGGAAAATAAAAAATGAGGCTGAAAACCATCAGGATAAGGGAAAAACACTGGGAAAAATTGGAAAAATACTGGGAAAATGTGGAAAAATACTGGGAAAAAGTCGAAAAATTGTGGGATGAGGGAAACCTGCCAAATGAGGTGGAAAAACACTGGTGTAAAGTAAAAAAAATGGAATGAGGTGGAACACCACCAAAATGAGGTGAAAAAACACCAAAATAAGGTGGGAATGAAGGAAATCATGGAGGATTCTTGGACTGGGATAAGGAAATTCCATCTGGGAACAACAAAGTTGGGATCTGGGATAGGATGAGTTTATTTCTAACAGAATCAGAGCAGGAGAACAAGAGCCCAAATCCAACTTTTCCCTCCCCCCATTCCCTCGTTCCCGGCTTTCCCTCAATCCCTCCGGCCATTCCAGGGGCGTTTTCCATGGATTTTTCCAAGACGAATCCATCCCACAGCGAGTTTTCCATGGATTTCTCAACTATGGGAGTTTTCCATGGATTTCTTGGTTATGGGAAAGAATTTTCCATGGAGTTGACTGAGATGAATCCATCCCACAGCAAGTTTTCCATGGATTTCTCAACTATGGGAGTTTTTCATGGATTTCTCCAAGATGAATCCATCCCATGGTAAGTTTTCCATGGATTTCTCCAAGATAAATTCCTCGGGGACTTTTCCAGAGGGTCAATCCTTGGGGAATATCCTGCTCCAAAGGTTTAATCCTCCATAGGATTCCTCCCAGGAATCTGCTCCTTTTTTTTCCATGGATCTTCAGATCCCCGCCAAGATCCAGCTCCAGGATGAGCTTCCTGTTGGACATGCCATGGAATTTTTGGGAATTTCCACTCCAGCACCATGGAATTGTCTCCAGAGTAGTTTCTTTGCAAAATTCCCACTCTGGAATTCCATCTGTGCCCAGATTGGCCATAATAACCCAGTACAATCCCAGTCACTTGCAGTCTAATCCCAGTTGCTCCCAGTTCCTCCCAGTGGCTGCTCAGTCGGTTCCCAGCATGCGCCTGGCAGCTCCCAGCACCTGCCAGACAGGGACCAATCACACCCCCTACAATCCCAGTCCAATTGTAGCTACTCCCAGTATGATCCCAGTCACTCCCAGTATGATCCTGGTCACTCGTAGTGTAACTCAAATCACTCCCAGTCACTCCCAGTATGATGCCAGTGGCCCCCAGTGTGATTCCAGTTGCTCCCTGTCAATGCCAGCATGACCCCAGGAGCATCCAGTATGATCCCTGTGACTCTCAGTCTCTCCCAGTATATCCCAGTCACTCCCAGTATGATCCTGGTCATTCCCAGTATGATCCCAGTCATTCCCAGTATGATCCTGGTCACTTGCGGTCTAACTACAGTCACTTCCAGTCACTCCCAGTATGATGCCAGTGCCCCCAGTGTGATTCCAGCTGCTCCCTGTCAATGCCAGCATGACGCCAGGAGCCTCCAATATAATCCCAGTGACTCCCAGTCTCTCCCAGTATATCCCAGTCCCCCCAGCATGCTCCCTGTCACTCCCACTTCCCCCCAGTTGCTTTCAGCATGATTCCAGTTGCTCACAGCCATTCCCAGTCAATCCCAGTATGATTCCAAGCATCCTCAGTGTGATCCCAGTCTCACCCAGCGTGGACCCAGCTGCTGCCACTGTCATCCCAGTATGATCCCAGTTGCCTCCAGTATAGTTCCAGTTGTTCCCAGTTCCTCCCAGTATGATCCCAGTTGTCCCTAGAATAGTCCCAGTACCTCTCAGCAAGGTCCAGCTCATTCCCAGCTGCCCCCAGCATGGTCTCAGCTGTTCCCTGTATGCTTCCAGTCCCCCCAGTATGGTCACAGACACTCCCAGCATATTCCAGTTGGCCTAGTACAGTTCTAGTTAGCGCAGAATGATCCCAGTTTCTGGCAGTTGCACAAAGTGTGTTCCCAGTGGCTCCCAGGATGACCCCAGCAGGAGCAGTAGTCACTCCCAGCATGGTTCCAGTCACTGTTGCCTTCTGATACAAGGCAGGCGGCCTGGTTTCAGGAAACAGCACGGCGGCCCATTTCCCCAGGGCCGCTCGGGCCTAAGAAACACGCGGACACCAATATGGTGGAGGATCAAAGGCCTTTATTCTCTCTTCTCGTGGGGTTTTATAGTCTAGGGGGCTTCTACGTCAGGTGGGGGTCTGTCCTTACCATCTATGGTTAGTAGGGATGGAAAAGTTACCTGGGCAAGTGGAAAATTACCGGAATCCGGTTCAGGGGGCTACATTCCTATGTTAATTTTCTTATCTAAGGGAACAGGGGCCCTGTCTTCCCGTAACATCACAAGATCTTCCGAACGCCAGGCCCTATCTGCTACATCTCCCCCCCCCTTTTTCACAAATGAATGAGGTAGTCATATACTGAAATGAGGTATAAGGTTGTAGTTCGATAAGGGAAAGGGGGTTTGGTAAATCTGAGTAAG